CAGACGTTTTTCTCCAATTCATATTCATATACTAAACACAGGGTCTGAGGAGAATTTTGTTCCTGTTGAGAAGAGTGTTCCCAGTCATACGATGATAAACGGACTTAAATGCCATTTCCGTCTGGTATTAATTGAAAGTTGCAATTTACATTGTAAATGATTCTCCTGCCTCTGACTGTGTTGTCACTGCTTTGGTAATGTAAATAAATGGCCTCAAGGATCCACGTATATGCATAGGAGCACACACATACACACTCACACATTTACACACACACACACACACTTGCTTTGCAGTCTTTGACAGCTCAGTGGTTTGGCAGCCCAGCCGTGTCTGTCTGCTCATCCATATGATATCATTTGGCATTGATCGAAGCGTCTTCCATCCCCTTCCCTCTCCCCTCCCTCTGCACCTCCTCCTTCCCCTCCTCTCTTTGCTCTCAGCCAGAACTGGGAGAAAAAAAAGGACACAGAATGCCAAAGCATCTTTGTTTTCCTTCCTGTTATTTGTACTCAGGTATAACAGTGATCTCCTAAGAGCCGGCCTCTCCCAGTATTTGGTTTTAAAGCCTTAAACGATGTCACCTTTGCATCCTGCCCTTCCTCTTCATTTTACTTTTGTTTCTTGTTGTTTCCTTTCTCATCCATCTCCCCGTGGATCTGTCTTTGTATGTGACGGTGTGTGTGTGTGTGTGTGTATACAGCAGCACTTTCATTCCTCCATCCTCCTTCTCCCTCACCTCATCGTCAATTTCAATTTACGAGCCGGCCTTAATAGGACTATAAGAGAAGTTCGATGCTATTGATCTGGATGCGTGTGCATCTTGACCTCAGCGCAGCACATCACAGGAGAAAAAAACATCACTCTTTTCATCATCAGGCCAAAACATCAGCAAACACATTCAAATAGTGTACACACAGGCGACCCCCACTCACAGGCACGCAGCCGCCATTGATCACAACCGGAATTCAAGAGACAGCAAATATTTGTGTCTTTTCGGCTGCGACAGTGACAACGTGATGCCTGGCTGGAGAAGGTTGGCTTCGACCTTGTCTGGGAAATTGTGAAGTTTTTAAAAATATAATGGGATTAAAAAATACATTTTATGAGATGAGTGGAAACGACCTCTCTGACAGAATCCTCTACGAATACGACATCCAACTTCTCTGAAGCAGTCACTTGACTTCTTCAAGACTGAAGTAGCCTCTCAAGAAACCAAAACCAGTCCAGCTAACGTCTGTTTATATGGATAAGATGACCTGGATGACAATGCTATATTGATATTCTACAGCACTGAATCAGTTTTTTTTACAATTTTTACACAAATTAACATACAAATATTCATGGCTTTGGTTCATTCTGTATGGCTGTTATTTATTTTCCAGCGATTAAAAATGTGGATCCCTCTGTTCCAGTTTTTTTTGGTGTAAACAACATTGAGTGTTCACTACGCTGACAGTCTTTCTACGGTTAAATTGCCTGTAGTATCGCAGTATATCGCAATACATCATAGTAAGAACATTTTTAACAACAAACCAGACATGAACATCTGCCCTCTTTAGAAGGATCTCCTATTTAGGCCCAAAGAAGTCAACATTTCCAGGTGGAATTCTGAACAAACGTGTCTCCAGTCGTCACATCAGGACTTTGGTTTTTACTAATGCACCTTTGGACACAGGTTACACTCCTTCAGCACTTTTCTTTTATCGGCTCTTTACACACATGGGCAGTTTTTTTTATTCTCATTTAGTCAGTAATAAAAATTGATCCTTTTTTTGTTCCTTTGCCTTTGAAATAAATCAAGTGAATAACTAATCCACCCAGTTTATATTTCACTGCTTCTGGTGAGGGTCAAAAAGAGAGACATTTTTAATATAAAGTGACTGGAAACTACAGTAAATCTTTGGTTTTCCAACAAAAAAGTTTGTTTTCAGAAATGTCACTTGAGAAAGTTATTTTACAGTCGCAAACGTAATAGGATGTGTGAGCTGAGCAGGCACAGCAGAGATTCCTCTCCTATTCCACAGTGGAAAAAAAAAAAGGTGCAGGTGTGGAGACAAGAAAGGAGAATAACTGGAGGGGGTGAGATCTGCTTTGATAGTTGGGAGGTGTGGGGAGGAAAAAAAAAACAAGAGTGAGGCAGGAATTCTATATCAGCCACGGTCGACCGTCTGTGGTGTTTCAGTAGAGAGAGAGAGAGAGAGAGAGAGAGAGAGAGAAAGAGAGAGAGAGAGAGAGGGGAGAGCGTGATTGTACTAAGCTTTTCTTATCCCTCACTTTTAACCGAGGAGAGCCACTCTCCCTCCTCCAGCCACGCCTTCAATTAATTATTTAGGCAGAAAACAAAGGTCTGCACCCGGCCATGAATAATGGACGGTGAGGAGGCAGAGAGAAGGATGGAGGTTAGGAATAGGAGGCGCACAGTGACAGGAGGAGAGATTCCCTCCTGTGACAGACAGTTCAGAGTGTGCTGAGGTCAGGTCACTGAGGGGACGGCAACAGGTGCTGATGGAGCCGCAGCAAAAATATTTATGACACACACACACACAGGAATGCAGGTGTGGAGTTCATGAAGATGAAGAGAAAACTATCATCATGTCAGACTAACAGTGGTCACTGTTTAGAACCCGACGCTGAGAAAACAGAGCGAACACAGATCGTTCACTTCAGTTAGAAACATGACCCTGTTAGTACCACTGTAGTACCACTGTAGGTGACGGCTCTACACTTCTTGTTATTAATGTTCTGAATTTTCATGTCATGATTATTTATGGTGTAGCTGTGCAGTAATCAGATTAATCATGATTGTTGTTTTGGTTTATGATCCATATTCATTATGGACTAAATGTTCCATCATCAATATGTTTTTTAAAGCAGTGATCATCAACTAGCGGCCACCGCACCAATATTGGTACGCCAAACTGTCCAATCTGGGCCGTGACTGAATTCCAAAATTGTAAAGATCAAAGAGAAAACGTTGTGTGGTTGCTAAGATCAAAGGCTAACAAAAGCTTCAGTTTTGTGATAACATAAAAACGTACATATATAAACAGAAAATATCAACTAATAATGTTTGACAAAAGTGTGATTTTCATTCCATTTTATTCGACTGTCTGCTTTGATTCTTTATATATTTATTTATTAAGTAAAAAGTTTGGGTTTTATTTTTAACTTCTCAGCTTGAGTACCGCTGGATCGTTGGATTGTACTCTGTGCCCTTCGTCTTATTCATAATGAAGTAGTACGTTGAAATCAACTTCACAAAAGGTCACAGCTGCGTCAGCAGGAGGGCACATCCTCCCAGTGGCCACCAGGGCCACCGGGTCGGCTGCACATACTGTGTTAAGGAGGAATCAGAGCGTAAAAATATCAAGGACACGTTAACACGTGTGTGTGGTGGGATGTTTCTGCATCTAGTCCGATGGCAGAGCCGATCAAAGACAGGAAGGAGGGAAAGTGGAACGTTCTTACTGCGTCCTCCTCTGTGTGTGTGTGTGTGTGTGTGTGAGTGTGTTTGTTGTTCCTTTTTTTGGCCTTGGAGAAGAAAGAAAGGCAGAAAAATGGGGAGAAATTATGCAACAAGGTGTAGAAAAAAAGAAGAAGAGAACAGTTAGAGTTAAGGAAGTGAGAAAAAGTTGAGAATTTACAGGATTCAGGTGGAAGTGGGCCACTTCAGGGTGTGTCTGTCGATCATGAAGACAGACGGAGAGACAAAACCAAAAAGAAAATACAACAGAAAAGTTTCCCACACTAACCTTTGTGGTCTTGACTTTGTTGCCTGTGCTGCAGCTCCATCCTGTGAGGTCTGGGAGGACCTTGCACTCCTCACCCTCCATACACGGCTGCATCTGGCACCACCACTTCTGGGCTACGATGGAGGCTGAATGAAGACACAGACGTGGGACTCAATGAACGTAGGTCTGGTTTTTACAGTCGTTGTAAAACTTCAGTCTGTTTCCAGACACACGTGTGATTATTGACCAAGAGAATCAACTTCAAAATAATACATATCTTTAAGACGAGTGTCATTGCATTTCCAAATGAAATTATCCATAAAACCTATAACTAACCTTGGGAATTAAAGAATTAAAATATGAAAGTATTCCGACACACCTACTGCAATGAAGCAAATACAGCAAAGAGAAAACTGATTCTCTCTCTCTGGGGAACATTTTTAAAAACTAATTACCACAATTTGCATGAGTTTCCCTGCCACTAGAGCCATGCAAATTTAATTAGTTAATAATAGATCATTTAAATCTTTCAGTTCCACCACAAAAACTAGAAGAACAGACTCCGACTCAGGATGTGCATGAGGGAGCGGCGACATGACGCGATCTCTCCCAGTTTAGTGCAGCTTTGTGTGAGACGCATCAAATCAGACAGAAATGAATAAAAGAAGTGTCTTTGGCAGGCGTCAGAGTGAGACGACCAGAAGAAGAAGAAGAAAATTGATTAAAAATCATCAAAGGTATAAATAAGTAAAGAACAGATGACTGAGAAGTTTGTGAACGTGATCAAATGTCCTGGTGAACACCAGCGCTCTGTCAGAACGTCACTAATTTCAAACGCTGAATGAATATTAAGTGTGTGTGTGTGTATGTGTGGATAGAGTACAGTGGGAATTCCTTCGCTGGATGACAAACTGTAAACTAACCAGACATCAGGGTTTTTTTTGACAAATACAAAAAAGGAGGCAATGCTGATGGATGTAGCAATCTGCAGTGACAGCAACTTCAAAGGGAGAAACACGGCGTCTGACAGACACCAACAACCACCGGGGGTGACTACAGACGATGGAGGGGGAGACAAGAAGCAGCGGCACTGACAGTGGAGGAAGCCTCCGCAAAAGGCTGTTCAAGTACAACCAACATCCGGCCTCCCATTTGTCCTCCCGTTCGTCCTCCCATCCGTCCATTCACTCATATTTTCTACAGCTTAATCCTGTTCAGAGCCGAGGTCGATCCCACCAGTCATCCATGGAAGGCTGTGTTCACCCTCCGTCCCAGGGGCCGCACACAGAGACAAACAACCATCCACACTCACATTCACACCGATGGTCAGTTCAGAGTGAACAGATCACCTCATCTCCAATCTTCACGTCTTCAGGTTGTGAGAGGACACTCTTCTTCTTCTCCTCTTAGTTGCTTCCTCTCGGGGGGGGAGGGGGCGCCACAGCAGACCGTCTGCCTCCATCCTCACCCTATCTTTTGCCTCCATCTATTGTTACACCAACCGTCTCCGTGTCCTCTTTCACTACGTCCGTGAATTTTAAAAAGTTCTACGCGCTTGAACTGTCGGGTTTTTGCATGAATGCTAAATAAAGCGTTTCATAATCTCCAAAAATGAGTCTGTCAACAGAAGACATTTTTCATAATTATTAATGTCAATTATTTATGTAACAGAAAGAACAACAACATCTGGGTTCTTATTCAGTATGTTTTTGGCTGTAAAACATCCAATAATATTTCTTTTTTTTCGTCTTGGCAGTTTATTTGGGTCAGTGCAGAACGGAATATGCATTTCATTATTTGTAAAATTGCTTATGGGTGCAATAAAAATTCGTATCATCCATCACGACGGCAATTTCTCTGAATTCATCACAAAGTATATAATACGGAGAGACCGTGTTCGTGATTCAGCCTCCTGAAGTTACCAGCAGGAAACAAGGTTGGACAGAAAAACAGTGGCAGAAGGAACGCGCCTGAAGTTTGTCTGATTCTGTTTCATGCATTTCTAATCAGTGTCTACGAGGACTCCTGCAGTACAAAGAAACGCGACCACAGGAGTATTGATGCCCATATCATTCCTTCATAATCAAAGCTACATTTATTCTTAGGTTTTCAAGAAATCCTCCGTGCAGAGGAGGAGAGTTGGACAGAGTGTATCGGCTGACTGCAAGAAATTATTTATTTCTATTAACTGTGGTTGGAAAATACAGATCTAAAAAAAAAAGTTTTTCTTAAATCTTCTCTTTTCATTTTTGGAAATTGACTTAATAGTAGTCTTAAAGACCAACGCTTAAAAGTTGTTTTAATTTTTGTTATGAACGTGACAAATATATGATCAATCATGTAAAAATGTATTGGAGTTTCCAGTTTAGTCATTAGGCAAACTGGGAACTGTATAGTGGTCGTAGGTCTGAATAGGTGATGTAGACATGATCTGTCCAGGGTGAAAACCTATGATTTCTGCCCTTGGTTTCAGTCTTCTGCCCCCAGTGACTCCATAAAGGGTAATGTATTTAATATATACTGACAGTTTCATTAGGTGTGTTTTAGTAGTACATTTTCCCCCTCCCAACATTTTACTGGGAACTGCTCTGACATTGTTCGCTGAACAGTCTTAGTGAGTCAGAATAGTCACAGTATTTTAGAGGAATGTGTTGTATATTGTTATTGTTACAGTGAGAGGTAGCTGTGTAATGTATGCAGTCATGATATATTGTCCTGACACTAATCTGTCTGTGCGTATTATCAATGGAGGAATATTCATCAACGACCACAGGTTTCTGTCACATTCATCTAATTAACCATCAACATGTCAGTGGACAGACGTCGCTGCGTCCTTTTATACACTGTCTGCACAGTCACCGTATATTTTGTGCTTGCGTGCATCTGCATGGCTCCCACAGATGATGACATTTACGTCACACACACACACACACTCCAGAGCAGTAATCCAGTCTTAGTCATCCTGTCCCACTGCTGCCTGACGCAAGTATTTTTACACGGCGTACGTGGCCTATATAAACCAGTACTGAAGTGTGTGATATCATTATACTTTATTATGATAACACTAATGATTTACCATGATGCTGCTGCTGCTGCTGCTGCTGCTGCACATTCCTGACTTTATACTTCTATTATTATTATCATTCAGAGGAAATACTTCATCATGAGGTGGAAACCTAAAAAGTGGAGCCCCTGACTGTAGAATAACAAACAAACATACCATCAACACAGGAGGGCATGGCCCGAGTCGTACCAGCGACCTGTCCGGGGAAGCAGGAGCATTTGACGGTCTGGGATCTCTCCTCGATCTTGTTTTTGTTGCAGCAGCGATGGGCAGCGATCACCTCACACGTCCCGGCCTTCACGTGCACTGTGGAGCAGAGAGACGGGGTTTAATAAACCAGAGCAACAAAGAAGAGCTTTAATAAAGCAGTGACAGTGGCTGAATAGACAGGCTCTCGTCAGATAAGCTTCATTTCAAACCTCAAACCTCTGTGCTCCTGTCCTTGGATCTGTTTGGATTGACTTAGTCAAGTATATTGTTGTATATTTCTAATTTTAAATTGTTTTTAAAGGTGAAAACGTACAAAACAGTTCAGGGAACAAACAACCACAACGGTTGTTGCTCATTTCACCATTCAAATCAATAAAAATTCTATTCTCTCTCCGACTCTATGAAGCTATATTTTGAGGAAGGCAATTTTTTTTTACTGCAAGGTTTACGACGACTTGACCTACAGCGTTTCATGGCTCCGTCGCCATCCACCCAAAAAAAACCATTGTTCCATCATTCCGATGTAGCATTAAAACTCGTTAACTTGTAATCAATTAATCATGATTCATTTACAGCTATAGATAATCAGGATAATCAGATTTAAAGTTTTGATGGTCGTGGATAATCAGATTTAAAGTTTTGATGGTTGCCTTTCCTCTCTCTATTCAGTTCAATTCCATCAGTTCCAGTGCTTGTAGAACAAAGCTACGTCGAGCTGTTGAACTTCGGTAATAGTGCACGTAGCGTGCACTTGCATTTACATGGGCTTCAAACGGACGGCCATGTGTTTAATTAAGTCCAGCCCAAGAACACGAGTCCCTGGAGTCGACCAAGAGAGAAGGAACAAAGAAAGCGCTCCACTTTTGAAGATTTGTGATGTCCACACACGGTCCTTCCACACCAGCCTTTCATCAAATACACGAAAATGTCAAGGACAAACAATGAGACTCGTCAGGATATCACTGTGTGTGTGTGTGTTTACATATGTCGTCTTTGCCAAAGCTCTTGTGTATCAGAGAAATGACAGGAAAATGAACGTCCAAAGACAAGACAGGTTTTCACACCTGACACCAGAGCAGCCGACGGTGACTCTGCTCCGCCTGAAGAGTGTTTAAAAATAAGGCAATCTGTTTAAGAGGCTAACAGAGATTTGGATTGTCCTTAAGTTGATCCATTAATGAAAAGGAAACAATGAAACAAGCAGGCAAATCCCAGTTCAATTAATATTTCAGAGCAAAGCGCAGTTTAGCAGCTCCTCCGCTGGAGCGCCGTCTCTCACTGTGCTGTTCATATCGTCTGGTTGTAGCTATGTAGGCCAAATGATTTGTCCCTGAGAGTCTAACATACACTGTTGTACAGTGTACAAATGTTTGTAAATTATACAGTGAATACATGTCAAACCGTGACAGTAAAAATCTGTAAACTCTAAAACAGTTTCACACTGTTTATATAACGACTCACCGTAAATTAGTAAATCAGGAAAGTACAGTACTTTTAACATTTATTGTCTTGAAAAAATACATTGCCTTGCTGTAATATTTATTAACATTCAGTACCGGGATTTTTGCATTTATTTCCCCCCAAAAATAGTTTTTTCACTGTTAAATATATTTACTGTTGTGGGCCATAATTTTTTTTACAATTCAATACTGTAATTTTTGCATTATTTTCGCAAAAATAAAGCTTCCCAGTTAAATATACACACTGGAGTGCAGACAACAGAAACATGCCATATTTACAACAAGATGTGATTCTTGCATTTACTTCAAAATATACTTTGTACCTGTCAAATTGATGTACTTGGTGTTAATAACAGACAAATACTTTAATATTTATATTATTTTTCAGACATGATAATATATGTATGTTAATAAAGACTTAAAAAAAAAATATAAATACTTATTGTAACGTCTGGCCGAGCGTTACAATGACGACGAGGCGTTCGTCTCAGACAGGTCTTTTATTGAAAAACCTTAACAGTTACTGTCGGCCGTAACTACGCCACATAACAGTAATAACTTCTCTACCTGCTCTTCTTTCCTTCCACTGGCTCACTCGCACCCAATCACAGACCTACCTATATACGTGCGTTCACTGACAGTCTGGAATCCCAAGAGTTAACGTTACAGAGAACCTGTCTGTTTCACTATACATGAATTACATTAACAATTTGCCTTTCAAATGTTTTCGAAGTTTGACTTCATATGTTAGAGTAGTCGGGTGACAGAGCAAGACATTGGCAGCTTCTGAGGTCGTGGCTACACTGTGTTTGTTCAGAGGTTTTTAAAGGCACCTTCATCGATGGTGCATTTGATCCTAACGCGCCTTAATTCCAAACACACCAATCAGCGCACATCTGACCACCTCGACCGTTAACGGCGGTACTGATTTCCAAAGAGTTTTCTGCAGTTGCCTCAGTAAGTATATTTATAAAACTCTGACTAAACTGGAATTATTCGTTTAATCAAGAGGGCTACATTGCAGACAGCTGACGTTAGGTCAACATCCCGACAGTCTTACGACTAGCTAAACTGTTATAACAGCATAGGAAATGACTGTATCATGTAGGCTTAAGGAAAATGCGGCTGGCGTTTTATCGCCGAGCATCGCGCTAAAGCTGGCATGTTGAAGCCTCTGACTAGCTAACTATACTGCACGACGTGTTGATTGATTTGTACATTGAAATATATTCTTATCACATATAACATGTGGAAAAAACGTCCACTCAAACTCCACCGCAATGAACCCTGACGTTTTTTTTCAACTGTAGCAACAAGTTGTAAGCAGGTGCTTTCGGGATATGCAGCTTTAAAATCGCATTTCTATCGCCACCATAACAGTACATCGACAGTTCATCAGGACGTGACTTTGACGCCATTAAAATGCACCGTCTCACTTTGTGAACGCCAGTGAGTACCATTGAATTTATAGTTATGCTGATATTGAAGCTGTTGTCATTTAATTTTTAATTTTTGTTTATTATTTTTTTTATTCCTACGGTCCTCCTACATTGGTGCTGAGACATTTATATTGAGCTTTGACTGAGAGGTTGTCAACAACCACATCACTTTCTTCACATCTGCCTGATGTTTGGCAGTTACTACTGCTTCAACATACACTACCTGGTAAAACTACAGTCCACACCTGAGTTCCTCCAAAGGG